GAAATTTTTAGTTAGGTTTCCAATCATGCTTTTCTATACATGAAGACAAGGTGTTTGCTGTTTACCTTAAATAAAAGAAATCAATTTTTTGTTGGTGTGGCCTTGGACTAATGAGTTTTTTTATAGGAGTGTGTGATAAGTCCAATTGTTGCTTTGGTTTCTTTTATTCGGTCGAGAACTTGGGCTTTCTTTCATGTGGTTCCTGTTGTCTGTACTCTCTTTGAGCAACTTGAATAAAGACTCGAACTCTCACATGTAGATTTCCAAAACCGATCTTTTAATTTCAAAGAACTTTGATGATCTAAGGCCTAAATTAAGTTTTGGGTTTTGGTACTTAAGTTTTAGATCAACCTACCACAGCCAAACCAAGGCCTACCAAGCCACAACATGCCAAGTCACAATTAATCTAATGAAAATATTAATCTGATTGAATATATCATCTTAAGGTGGCATTATAATGATTACTTGACAATCACTTATGTGATTCATATTCAATTGGCAAAAAACTATTGATTAGTAAAGAGCAAGTAACCCAAAGTTCACCTTTAAGAATGGATGTCAGAATCTCAAGAGGTTTTGCATTAAAATATAAAATCAAGTTATTAGAAATCACGATGCAATATAGATTGCCTAAAATTTCTTGGGGCACTTATGTTGTCCAAAATTAATGCATAAAATTTTCTAAAAGTATGTTCGTAGACCTCTTATATTTTTTTGAAGGCTTCAAAAAGGTTGCCTTTCTTTATTCCATTTTCGTTACATTTCATTTAGCTTTTGAGTTTATTAGGCTAGCTAAATTTCTTATTGGGTTTTGGTATCATAAATTTCTTAGTTAATTTGAATGATGCAATGGGGTTTTTGCTTTTCTTATCTCAATCTTGATTTCATTTTTATTGATGCTATGCTGGTATACAAATTTGTTTCCAGCAATACCCTTGAGTTTTACTTTTTTGGTCCTAAATTCATATTACCATTTCTTAATCATGAACCCAATTGACCAACTGTATACGTGCTTGCAAGTCTCCATAATGCACTGTGTTTATTCAAATGTTTGTTTAATGATAAATAAAGTGATGCCTTTTTCCTCGCAATGTTGTAGTGTGGTATTATGGTGGTTGTGACAGTTGTTTGTGAATGTTGCGTTGACGTCTTGAGGTAATTGCAACTCTCAGGACTGTTTGTGGAGAGAAAAAGAAGAATAAGTCATAGAAATGGAGACTAGGGAACCCGCATATAATGTATAACTTCTTTTGTAGAGAAATCTATTGGCGGTAATAGACAATCTACCAATAACGATATGTCCTTGTTTGACGATTGTTTGCTCATATTGGTCTAACGCACTCCTCTTGAAATGGTTTTCTATTGAATTTGTTGGTGATGCCCCCATATATTGCTCGATTTCTAACACATTGCTTATATATGTTTGATTTCTTTTGAATTTGGTTCTCATGTATGAAATTGGGATTGCCCAACAAGAAGGGTAAAGAATTTGAGTATTTCTTGCTGTTTGCAAAAGTATATTTCTAACTATGCATGACCATGAACAAAACATCAACATAGTAGTATGTTGCAACTCCTCTAGCAATTCATTTCCTGCTTTTCAATGGACAACTATTGCATCTTTTTCCTACCTAGCAAAAACAGAAAGGAAATTGTCTTTCTACCATTCATCGGTTCTTCTCTTCTCCCTTTTTGATTTGCAAATCGTAAGGACGCCATCATTAGCCTAGAAAAAATAAACAAAAGTAGCTATGAGATGATGCAAAAAAGTTGGTTTTGGTTTAGCATTGTTAAATTACATGCATTGGAGCATAGATTTAGAAGTATAGTTTGATTTGACTCTTTGTTTGGATAATAGGAATGTGGTGTTATTCTGATTATGTAAGAGTTTTTGAGGTAGAGTAAGTCTCGATGCGTGTATTAAGATGTTTACTTTATTACTATGATGGTGTTGCAGTGGTTGGGGAATGGTTGTATTCGGGAAATACACTATTGTGATGGTAGTCCAATAAATTTGAGTATATAAAATTGTGTGTACAAGTTAAGAATTTCATTGCGGTGCTATTTTATAAGAAACTATATCAAATTTTAAAAAAAAATAGTGGGGGCATATTGATTGGCAATTTTTCTAATTGACGATTTTTTATATTATACAGTGCATTCAGACACGGGCATTAGCTAGTGTATATAACAAAGTAGAGTGAGTTTTGAATTTTAGAGACAAATAGCAGTTTAGATCGTTTCGAGACAATAAAAAGATTCATCCGATGGACGACGCTATTCCAAATTGTTTTGAGCTATTGACGTCTTGATCGTTTGGAACTGATGTATCATATTAACTCTTGCAATTTTTTTGCCGCTCAAAATTTTTATTTATTAAAATTGATATCCCAAAATTTAATTCCCCCAATTTCTTGGATAAAATCAAGCCAATCCCTTCCCCAACTCCGTCTTTCTCTCACGCCCCAAATCACGCACACAGAAAACACATGCACTGCTTTCTTCCCCAAACCTTTCCTTTAGAATTACAAGAGTTCTTTCCTTGCAGATGGTAAATCTTTCCTTTTTAACGCCCTTTCAATGGCCAAGCCATCGTTTTCGAAGCCCTTCCCTCTTTCACTTGGCCTCTCCACACTTTCTTTCACTTAACTCTGCCTTTGCACACTTTCCTTCACTTTCACTTCAAACCCTAACTAGCCTCTCTATGTCTCTTCATCGCCAGCCAAAGGCGACACCAAAAAGCGTCGAAGTTTTTGACACCATCTTCTTCCCGCCTTATCTCTCCCTGGTATTGTCCGATCAATAACTTCGACTTCTGTATGTTTCTTTTGTTGTTTTTCTTGCATCTATTATCCACCACGTAAGGACATAGAACACACTCATCAATTTGATTTTGATCCTTTATTCAAGATTCCGTTGACGATTAAATCTGCAGCTATCTCACCTTCGTCTACTAATCTCAACCGGGTATGTTTAAGTTTTGTTGCTTTCATACATATTTTTTTGTCAAATTCATTTGCCAAATGTTTGAGTTTAATTTCGTATGTCTCTATGGTGGTGTTCATGGTGGGTGCCGTATTTTATTTATTGCTTGTCATGTGAATATATTACTAGTCAATTTAAGTGGATCATATGTGTTTAATTCCATATGTCTCTAAGGTGGTGTAACGGTGGTGTTCATGGTGTGTTGTTGAACTTGATGGTTTGTAGCTTTTTTGTTCAATTTAAGAACAAAGCCTTCCTTTCTGTCACCCATTTCCTTACTTTTTTAATTTAAGAACAATGAGTTTTGTTGTTCGGCTAGCTTCACCAACATCCCAGCCACCACCCAAACCACCAGCCACTACGTGTTTGACAAAATTTCTCAAACGCAATAGCTCACCAATGTACTCTTAAGAAAGTCCAATGCTACAGCCAAGAGAGATTTAGATGGTAGCGTGCTTCCTTTTTGTTTTTGAATTTTTAGACCTACAAAGAAAATAACCGGATAAAAATTATATTCTCAAGCTTAAAGTTTCAGTTTAGCATGGAATTGAGGTATTGGGGGAAACAACTACTTCTTGATCAATAATTTATTCTTATTATTATTTTTTCGTCAATTGTAACCTATTGATACAAGGAGGCCATTGGTATTGACAAATTTGCTTCATTCTCCAAAGCAAAGGTTAACTAACGAAGTCCAATTTTAATAATGGATTTTGCTTTATCATGGGAGCTTTTAGCATGAGAGTGCATTTGAATTTCTTCTTCCACATGCTCAATCAATTGATGTCAAAATCTACATATTCTAGGCTTACGTGAAAAATTCAATGTATCTTTCTTTTTTTGTATTATTTGGTGCGGGGCATTTTGCAAGAAAACATAGATCTGGATAACATGTCATATGAGGTTTTAATTGCATAGTTTATTACAATTTTTATGCTTGATTTGCATTGTTTTTTTGTTATTTCGTGAGTCACATAACACATGATTCAAATGTTTATTTCTTTATTGCAATCATTCAGTATGAGTTTGTTTTCTATGTTTTTCCATTACGCTTGAATTGATTATGAGAATCTATAAAATATTGTGTTTGTTGTTGCCATTGGGATTGACATTGTTTCATTCCACTTTTTTAGATTGTTTCCAATTCTAATTACCTTTCATATTAACCATGTTCCAGAAAAAAAACGCACCTATTACCAAAATAATTCACTATGTTAACTAAGTTGGAGGCAATAAAAGGAGAAAATTTGGGTAGTCAAGACAAAAATTTGATTTCAAGACTGACCTGAGGTATTTTCCTTACAATTAGTTTAGATGACTTTGATGTGCATATTTTTTGGGTTGACTTTTACTGGATATACTACTTTTTTTTATAAAAACTTAAGCATGTGTATTATTGAAGCTTTCATAGTAACCATTATTGTTAATTTGGATGCAATTGTTAATATTGTTCAATCATTGTGTTTTGTTGAAATTTTACGAGTAACATTGTGCTTTTAGGCATATGTTCATCACTCACACATAGTAAACACAACCACACAGAACACATAAAACACACACCCCCAGAATACATCAAATACACACTCAAAAAAATGTACACGCACTTTTGGTTTTTGTCTGATCCTGTTCAAATAAAAATATGCATCAGAGATTGATGCTTTATTTGTTTTTTCAGTAGTTGTAACATTACTTTCGTTGCATAAAAATTTGTATTTATATATGTTATGCATGGTGGTTGATGTTGGTCAAATGATATGTCTTTAGAAGATATTTTATAGAAATTGTGAAAAACATTAGTGGACTCATTTTTTCGTCGTTTGCTAAAATGTTGTGTTATACCTTGTATTTGTGTATTGACAAATATTTGTAACTTATTTACGAGTAACACCGTGCCTTCAGGTAAGGGCAATTGTTACTAGTTATGCACAACAGAGGGAAAGTGAGCGTGTAGTTACCATATCGAAAGAAGAGAGAGAGCACCACTACTAGTGGTAGTAAAGCAAAGTCGAAAACGAATGGGTGGCGTACGGGGAATTTTGCTGGATAGCTCAACTCTCTTCGCTGAGGATGACTACCAAATTGGAAATGAAAATGCGTCTCTTCGTCCCGGAGCGGAATATTTGCTTCGTAAGCTTCATCACTCCAAGATCCCCACGGTAATTGTTGTCCTTATCATTTTATCTGAGTCTCTCTACACACAAGCACGCCTGCTATGGAATTTATTGTTAAATTGAAACAAAATTTGTTTTTTTTTCCCCCTAGAAATTTGGGTTGTCACTGGTAGATTGTAGGAGTGCAACTTGGGTGGGCAACCCGAATTCAACCTGAACACAACCCGAAAAAAAAGGGTTTGAGTTAGAATTTTTAATACTTGGGTTGGGCCTGGGCATAAAAACTCTAACCTGAATTGAATTTGGGTTAGCCTCGGGTTGAGGCATCGGGTTGTCGGGTTGAACCCGAATATATATAAATATATTTAATTAGGGTTAGTATTTATCTTCACTCTTTAGAGTTCAGACTTTTACTTCACTTCAAGTCTTCATCCCTGCGCCTCCATCACTCTCAGATCCCTCTCTCACTCGTCACTCCTCTCTCTCTTAATCGTCACTTGTCTGAAACGTCTCAAACTCTCAGCCTTCTTCTTTCACTCATCACTCCTCCTTCCCCCACTCCCCCTTTCTTCATCTGCGCCTCGTCCTTCATATCAGATCACTCGAAAAAATTAGATTTACACTTGAAAAAAATCAGATTTACACTTCAAAAAATCAACCCGAATTAAGTAACAAAAAACCAACCCGATTTTTAACTCGAAATCAGCTCGAATTCAACTGGAGCCCACCTGAATTAAATTCGGGTAGTACTTGAGTTGAGTACCTCGTGTTGAGTTAGGGTTAGAGTTAAAAATTATATACCAAAAGTTGGGTTGATCGCTCAACCCGCCCAACCCATGCGAGTTGCACCCCTAGCAGATTGTATGTGTACTGCCATCAGATAATGGTTATATAGGCCCACCTCTTTATATGGAATTTGCCAGATTCTCAGTCATGCCGGTAAGTCCATAACCTACTTCCTATGAAAATCAATGGCGGCAAAAATCTCTCAATTTAATTAGAAGTAGACTTGTTAATCGTGTCAAGTGAAGTGAGTTCTTGTTAAGTCTTAACGGATTCATGTCAACAAACACTTAACTTTTCTTGATTCGTTTATTAATATATGTCTAATGAGTCGTGTTTTATCAAGATCGTGTTGTGTATCTATCTTATATAATCGGTATATAAACGAGTTTTGTTGTGTATTTCTTTTCATTGGGTCCACTTGTTTACGAAATGAATCAAAAGACCCAAACCCTCCAATTTTGTATTGTGTTTGTGTTTTATTTTGCACCACTAATTAGATGTTCTCATTACACATATAAGTCCATAACGGAGACCCCAAATAAAAAGCCCAAAATCTATCCATTCTATTTTTTTTCCACATGCTTTTAAACTTTTTTTTTTTGGGTCATCACATTCTCACCACAGTTTTTTTTTCAAAATTTATCGTTTCTCAAATCTTAAAGCTTTTGCATCTCACTTTATAATGGATTTAATTTTTTTTTTTGAGTCATTTAAAAACAGCCCTACTCAAGATCACGTGTCATTGTCCTAAGCGCTAACTCAGGATTTGTAACGTCTTAGTTTCTCGGATGCGTTAGTTGATACATCGGCTACAATATACCAATAATTATATCTCTAAATGCAAGGCTAGAGCTCTAATTACCTCGAAAATAAATAAAAATAACCTCTAAAATGTACAAATGGATCTCCTCAAATAATATATTGCAACAATAAAATCAAATGCTATAAATTTGTAAAAGTATACAATTTATAACTGAGATACAGTTTGACACGAAACATGCCTAACGATAAAAAAATACGAATGATCAAAATATCAAAGAATTAAATCAATAGGTAATCATGGACAACAAAATCAAGAATCAACTTCGACATGCACATAGCTCAATTTCTATCAAGTATAGCCTCATATTTGGTGACACGACAAGTGACACTTAGGCATATAAATCTATACTCATCGAACAATAATACCTCGTGCGGCTACAATTATATTTCACAAACTATACCCCAAACAAATTTCATACGTGTACCAATCAATCTTAAAGTATTTAGCGCAAACTCTAGATCAGATTAACAAAACACATAGGATTTCATATCAATCAAAATAGCGAATAGGAATACGAATTTTGAGATAAAAAATAGTACATTCTTTACAAAGAGATTTAAACACAAGAGCATATTGTATACTACCTCGTACACCAAATCACCAAAGGATATGATGAATTGGATCACCACCGTGTTAAGAACACCATATACCAATTTCAAAGAATTTGGGATTAAAGTCATCATTTAATTTTGAACTCAAAACTTCCTCATTTTCTCCTCCTTTTTTTCTTCTTTCTCTCTTTTCTTCCTTTCTTCCTTCCTTCCTTTTTTTGTTCTTCCTTTCTCCGGTTTGCTCATTGTCTTCATAGCCAAATTTTGCTTGCCACCCAAGCATCTCATGTCACCATGCCTAGGCTTGCAGGGTGACACCAAAGGGCACTTGTCCATTTTTTTCTTGTTTGTTGTTTGTTGTTTTGTTTTTACAATGACACTTGTCCCTTTGTTATTTGTTTCTTTTTAATATTATTTTTTACTCCTTTCAAGTTGCATGGTTATATTTCAATCCCAAATAAAATTCATAGAAATAATTATAATTAAACCCCCATCATATTTAATCTTTAATTTTTTTCGGGTTGGGTTTTCATAGGATAGTCCAAGGAATCTTATCCCAAGCAATTAAAGTGAAATGTGTTATTTATTTTTTAATTTTTTTCCTAGTACTGCATATCATATTCTTCCTTGCTTTAAAAACTTTGTCTTAGAAATTTACAATTTGAGATTTGCTCTTTAAGTAATTAAATTTCCTCTGTTGTGCGTCACCTCTAATGCTCCACTTAACAGCCTTCACCTACACCCATATGTACCGCTAGAAGAAAGAAACTGTTTCTTTTGTTACTAAGCTTTGTGTTTAAGAGCCAAACACTTGTTTCACCACACTGAGAAAGATGTAAATTTCGTTTCGAAACAGTTGACATTTTCAAAACGTTTTCGTTTCTAAGGAGACTGAAACGAATCAGTGATGAAATCGATGTATTTGTAATTTTTCAATGCATTTGCAGAATTATTTTGGAATATTTCAAGATACTTTGATATATTTCGACTAATATTTTAGAAAAATAATTTTTAAATTTTTTATTTTTTTCATTATATTTCCGAAATAGATTGAAACGTTTTCAAAACATGTTGAAACGTTTCCGTTTCCTAAGTGACTGAAACAATGTACTGAAACGAAATTTTGATCCTTGCACAGGTCAATCTTTTGACGTCTTTTATTTTCCTAAATGATAAGGTTTAACTATTTCTCACGCCACTACAATTAGAATTAAAAAGTTCTTAAGTGGACAAGTAAATCTAAATTGTTCTAGAAATTCACATATTGTTGTGTTATACTCCAAAATCACTACCATTAGGCACTTTGATCAAAGAGTAATTTTTGGGTATACTCGGCTATAGTTATTCCCAAACTCACATATCATTATCCTATTCACAAGCTTATATTCTTCCAAGGAATCCTATCCTTCAAATGTTTCATAACTACCACCAGGTTTTGCCAGCCCAATTCCTACAATGTCATTCAAGATCTAAGCCCCGATAGCATTCTTTGATGCCTCGAACCCAGTCCCCTTAGGTTTTGTGTGCGAACCAAATTACCATCAATATTCTCAAATATAAAGCACTAAAATCCTCAACAATTGATAAATGAAATCTCCGAACATAAAAACAAAGGATTACAACAGTAAGAATACTTATTAATTCTCATCCAACCTCTTCAAATGATCCAATCAGTTACCCCAAAATCAAAGTGTGAGTTTGGAAGACCCCGTAAGCAATTGAAAAAAACACAATACATGACAACATGCTAAGCACCACTCAGTTCATTCCACTATCATACATGCCACTTGAGACCACAACATCTCTTAATCATAACATGCCACTGAATGCGCCCTTACACATGTGCCAATAGCTTATACAGCAATTAACCAACCAATGTTTTTTCAATACAAACAACCAATATCACATCAAAAGAAAACTCGAAGGAACATCAAAACATCAATCAATCAGAATAAAAGAACGATAATAATGAAACGACTTTTTGCAAAGAGATTTAGAAACAAATACATATTGTGAGATAAACGACTTACATAATCGGTGCCACCTACACCATTTGTCCTATCTACTACCATATGTCTCGGTCTCTTTCTCTCACATGCGATTTCACTGGTACATTTTTCTCTCCTCCTTTGAAGAATAACTACTCTACCTCTTTATATGGAATTTGTCAGATTCCTAATCACGCTAAAAAGTCCATAACCTACTCCCTATAGAAATAAAGCTGGCTAAAATCTCTCCTTGTAATTAGAATTTAGAAGTTCTAAGTACACCTATAAATCGATGATGTAGACCTCAAATAAACAGCCTAGAATTTCTTAATTTTTTTTCCACGTCCTTTTAAACTTTTTTTTTTGGGGTCATCACAATTTTAATGGAGACCGAAATGAATCAGTGATTGAATATCTAAATTCTAATGTTTCAAGGTGTTTCGGTATGTTTCAACCAATGTTTTGGAATGTTGCGTAAACAATTTTCAATTTATTTCTCCGTTTTTGTTCTTTTTTTGGAATGTGTCCAAAACATTTTCGAAAAAATTGCTTTTCCTAGGCGATCGGAGCGAAATTTTGATCTTTGGCTACGTAGATGACACTGGAACAAAAGATGCAGCTTGACAGCTGGAAAATCTAGTTAAAGTTAGCAGCACAATTTTAAATTATAGCAGCATACCCATATTCCAAGACAACAACTCCAGAAAACAGTGCAGAAATGATCAGCTAGCAGATTTCCATCACGAGCAGCGTTTTTTTTTTTGGTTTTCCCTTGTATTCCGTTTTCTAGTTGTTTTAGTAAAACTTTTTATTTTTTTCATCAAAATAGAAAAAATTAATTTCTGAAACTGCAATATGTGAAATAATTCTCTAATTTCGAAACTTGTCTTGTTGGCACTAAGCAGGCACAGTTCAAATGTTACAAGGACAAGTGTTAAAAATCACAAATTGAATGCAGGGGGACAAGTCTCAAATTTGTAGATGCGATTTTCACTGTTATTGATAAAAAGAAGTTGGCCTGAAGAGAACTAATTGCATGCAGTTGACCTTCTATTTAACTTCTTACCCTGAATGACTTTACAGTATGATAGTGAAGAGATGGTGCACAGTTTGTGCACTCACAAGTCACACCTACCCAATTAGATATGAACATGATATTTGGCTTTCATATTTGTTCACATCAGTTTTATCATTATTGAGCTCTATCTCTTTTGCAGGGAATATGTTATGGACTTGGCCTTTCAGCTACTAAGGTGATTTCTTATTTTGCTGCATATTTATGTTCACTATTCATTTATGAGGATGATATAGTTTTATTTACTATGATATATCAAAAGCAGATAGCTTAAAGGTATGTCTTCATTTTGATTATGGGAAGAAATGATAAATGCTAGTTTTTTTTTGGGTGGTAACCAAAGAGATTCCTATCCTACTTGTGCCCTATTTGAAGTGAGGCTGGGCCGCAGGAGTCACACTAAATGATTAATGTTGCTCCTTAAAACCAGAAAATTATATTCTTTGCATCTAATTATATTTCCATTTCTGCAATATACAGTTGTATGCCTTCGGTCTCTAATTCTGATAATCAGGAATCCATTTTTTGACCCCCAAGGTCTCTCTGCATTTCTTGGGTAAAAGCGTGCATGTTGAGTGTTATTTTAAATAGTAGATTATGAGGCCGAACACCAAATGGAGGTGACAGTCGAAGACCAAATGGAGAACTGCCAACTTTTCATATAATCATGAATGCATCAAGCAAAATAAGGGCTGTGTTTGAAGCTAAGGGTGAATGAGTAGATAGATGAAACTGTAGCTTTTCAATATTTTGATAGCTGGATTACATCTACTCCAGACATCACCCCACACACACACATCACCTAAGCCAAATATTTACTTGACATTTTCTCCAGAAATGGCAACTGTTGAATCAACAAACTTAAATATTGAAGCTACTGAGTGAAAACATTTTAAGCCTAATGCAAAGGAAGTCATTAGTATTTGTTACCTTAAGAGCGAGGCATCTTTATCAAGCTGCAACCACACTCCTCGGATCTAACGGAACACAAAACTGCTCAGCCAAACACAACACTATATTCCACTACTTCCTGTTATTCAACATCATCATCAAACGAGCATTAGTTGAGCTATAAGAAGGATCAACTCATCAGTTTAAATTCCCCTTTTAATGAAAACAATGGTAACTCTGAACCTATGAAGGAAAATGTGGATGTGCATCTGTGCTGAGGAAATATGATAAATGCAGAGAAGAACCTGCAATCTTCACCTCCTATTCATCTTTAAAAAAGACAAAATACATCGCACATTGTAAAAAAGGTGTCGCTATGCATATGTCTTCATTACTAGTTTAACAACAAACTCCAAGCTCCAAGAAATATATATCAGTTTCAAGCCTGCACCTTCGCAAGATGTAATAATAATTACCATGGAGAAGTAAAAAGCAAGTAGTGGTAGTTAGGGTTAGGGCAGAGGCTATGACACATGGAGTTTGCGAGCTTATGTGGCTTCAAATCCTACTGAGTGAGCTCGAAATTCGTGGTGATGAACTTTTGAGACTGTATTGTGATAATAAGGCAGCTATCAACATTGCACACAATTCAGTTCAACATGATAGGACAAAACATCTTGAGATTGGACGACACTTCATCAAAGAGAAGTTGAATAATTGTTTAATTTGTATGCTTTATGAAATCAAAAGATTAGTTGGCCGATGTTTTTTACAAAAGGGCTTAGTAGCAAGTTTTTTCATCGTATCATTTGCAAGTTGGGCATGAGGGACATTTATGCACCAATTTGAGGGGAGTGTTATGTTCTGTTATATTAGGATGTAATCCGGTAATTTTGGCACTTGTGTGGTTATATATGTCTTGAGAGGTAGCTGTGTAACCCTAACACACTACTCTTCTCTCTTAATTCTTCTCTTCCCTAACCCTAATTACTTCACAAGTAACTCATTTTAAAGTATCCTGCTGATATGCACTACTTTTTCCGCTGTTGATAATGTTGTTCCTGATCACTATATCTGCTTTGGTTAGGTGAATCTCATTGAAAGGATGTCAAGGCTATACACTTTCAGTTGTTTTCTCTTGAATCCGCCATCTGTGCATGACATTATGAATGAGATTGCAGCTGCTTGGGTTGACAATGGAGGGAGTTTTGTACTTGTAGTTTCTAATCACAACAAGGACCTCTTTCTTTTTCTAAGCAATAGTGGTTGGCTGACTGTCATTCTAAGTGAGTATTTCTATGTCTTTCTTGAAAGAGTATCTTTGTGCATGTGGGAGAAAGGTGAAATAAGTTCTTTTGTTATATGTTAAAGTATGAAGTCCAAGCCTTGCATTAAGAATCTCAGTTTAAAAGAATAACAACCAATACTATGTCTAGTATTTTTTTTCCACAATAATGAACAATAATTTTGTTTATAATAAGCAAACAAGTGTTACAAAAACCCATCGAATGTAGTCAAGTCGTATAACCCAAAAATGGTTTAGGACATTGAAGACAAATTCAATCTGCGTTATGCTGTCCAACTGGCTGTAATACTGAAAAGAAGAACATTCTCAAAATCCTTGGTCACAGATGCCTAAAAAGAAGCCAAGAAATAAAACATTTCCCATAAATGTTCAACCTCCTCCTGTTTATCTTCAGGATTCTCGAATTTCTCTCCATTCATAAAACCCAAATACTAGCTAAAAAAGCATGATGCCAAAGGGTCTTTCCTCTTCTATTTTCTCCCAAGCCCATCACATCGAAGCAAAGTGCAAAGCATAGAAGACATGGATATTGGACCTAGTGAAGGCCAACAAAGTCCAACGAATTAAATGGGTTTGTTCCATAGTGATAGAGCCACATGACAATGCAAGTGTGTGGATCACCTATACACATAACACGATTGTGACAAAAGACATGCTGACTGCCTTCTCTTAAATTCCAAATTTTGTTGACAACAATTGAGTTGATCTTGATTATCTTGATAAAATTAGAGGGTAATGTTTGGATAGTATCAGTTTGATGTTGAATGCATTTCCTGAGTCAGATGGAATCCATGCTAGTGATTTTCACATGGTGTATAAGGAGTGACCCGCAATAAGGGCTTTTTCAAGAACTGTATTCTGGTGTGGTCATAATCTTTTGGCTGTGCAACATGAATTTTCTCTCTTCACAAGAGGCATTATTGCAACCCTATAACTCTTATTGTTTTTTGGATCTTTACAAGAGCTCTTAGCCAATGATCAGCTGATGGTGCGCCACACTACTTTTGATGGTTAAAATGCTCCTTGTCTACATCATTCCAGCCCGAATTGGTTTTCCTACACAATTCATTAAATCTGTTTCCATGCTAGTATAGGCTATCTTGTTGACATGTAATTTACGGGGATATTTTACCTTTGCCAGTGACATAATGTTTAATTCTCTGCTAAAAAGTGATTCCTCCTTTCATCTCAGATGTTGAAGGTGGCAGTGCAAGTGAGGATTCAAGCACAGTTTTCATCAATAAGTTAGCAGAGTTGCCCATGATTATCTGCCACTTGAATAGAAAGGTAGCCAGTAATTCTTCTCCCCATCCTGCTAATTGTCAGGAAGGCCATTTTATTCTGGCCTTATGCACTCAAGAAATTACCTCGAGTTACTATGATATTGGAGGATTGTGATATACCACTTATTCATGCTAATACTGTGGCAATGCTTAGGGAGTGAAGCAACTCTGTTTTATGGAACGAAATTGAGATAAGAACGAAATTTATGGAGTGATACTGGTTGCCATTTTCATTGAGATAAGAACAAGGGAGTCGTTTGGTAACGCTTTTGTTTTCTCATCTTGAAAAAAATTAAAAACATAAATAATTTTTGTCTCTATTTTGTGATAAATACTAAAACAGAAAATATGTTTGGGAGTCATTTTTGTCTATCAAATTATGAGAATAAAAATAAAAAATATGTTAGTAACTACTTCAAATTTTATCCTAAATATGTTTGGTATCTATTTGGCAATCAAATCCCAAATGGCAATTCAACAATCCCAAATGGAAATACAATTAGTTTCAAATGATAATTTAATCCCAAATAACAATTCAATCAGTCCTAAATGATTCAACACAACACATACACACACATACACAGAGAATGAACACAACAAACACATACACATAGACTCAACACAACACACACACAGATCTGTGCATATATATGCACAGCTTCTGGGTTTCACAGAGAACAGGGAGAGAGGAGATAGAGAAAGCCAGCGATGGAGGTGGGTTTCACAGCTTCTGGGTTTCACGGAGGCAGAGGTAGCAATGGAGGTGGGCAATGGGCCAACGATTTGTCTGGTGGTCTGATACGGAGAAAGGAGAGAGGAGGGAGAGAGACAGAGAGAAGTGATGGAGAGGAAAGAGGAATGAAATGAGTTTTTATACTTCAACAAAAAAAACATTTTTTTTGCTGTTAAGAGGAGTCAAAGTCCGAATCTCATTAATTCCCCACCCTTTTTGCGCATGTTCTCTTTGTTTTTGGTGTTCCTTAGAACATCTTTTTTTTGTTCCAATTTTTTGTCTTTGTTTCCAAACAACTAATGTAAAACAAAAACAAAAACAGTATCTAAACATATTTTTGTTTTCATTTTTGACAAAAATTGAAAACAAAAATGCAAAACACAAGACAAAGACAGTAAACAAACAACCCCAAAATTTTTCTTCCTTATACTCAATTTCATTATCACTTTGAAAATTTTTGACTTTGGTATTAGACTGAGTACTCACCATTTTATGGAAAGATCTAAAGCATGAGAAAACTTCACATTTACTGTGAAATAGGTAAACTCAAGTAAGTCGAGAATAACAATTAATAAATGTAATAAACCAACAATAACCAGAAGTAGACACAATACAGAACGCCCTCCACCAAGGATCAAAATGTCGTGTCGACACGTCCGAAACGTTTCGGAATTTCAACACTCCGAAACGAAACAGTAGTTGAATCACAAAATTTCGGACCGTTTCGGTCGAAACGGTACTGTTTCGGACCGTTTCGACAAAACAGTGATATATTCGGTTCATTATGAATAATTACATTTAATACCCCATTATAATTACATTTAATACCCACTGTAATTACATTTAATACTCACTATAATTATATTTAATGTCCCACTATAATTATATTTAATTCCCACTGCTCTTCTGTCTTTTATAATTTTTTTGTTATAAGAATAAATAATTACACTTAATACCCTACTATAATTATATTTAATACCCATTATAATTATATTTAATACATACTGTAATTATATTTAATACCTCACTGTTGTGCAAGTTTTTTGCTTTTTTTTTTGTTATAAGTATTAACAATTACATTTAATACCCTAATGTAATTATATTTAATACCTACTGTAATTACATTTAATACCCACTGCAATTACATTTAATTTTTAAGTATACATAAGTATCATTAATTTAATTTGATACCCTTCATTATTAGTATTATAATAAAATAGTATTATTAATTGGATTATATTACCGTAATAATATGATTTGGAGTAACTATTGTCATCATATTTATGTCACATATGGAGTTTCTCTAAGTAGCTACCCAGAGCTTACACCGATGTATGAGCCTGCTCGACACTCCACAGGGGAATGGATGTAATCATGTAAGTATGTACTCATTAGCATTTCATGTGTATTATAAGACGTTAATATTATGTAAAAATGTGTTTATTTCATAAAAATTAAGTGTTTGAAACTAATTTAAGTGACTTTCGCCTCAAGTCAAGCCTTTTTTTTCCTCAAATTTAAATTTATTCTTGTATAAATTGATGTTAACCTAATAAATATGTTGAATTAATAAATTATTTAGCATATCTTTATAAATTAATGGATTGCATTTGTGTTTCTATGCGTTTCCATATTTTTTCTGCGTTTCCATTGGGTTTCCGAAATATTTCCGAAACGTTTCTATTTTTGAGTTGACCGAAACGGTACTTCGGAACGAAATTTTTGATCCTTGCTCTCCACACATCTGAATGAATAATGATAAAAGGTGCAGTACTTCTATCACTATTACTAGGATAAGATAAATGTTTATGATTGACAAATTTACAAGCATCACAAACAAAAGATTGTCTACTACACTGTTTCACTAGATTAGGAAAAAGATGGTCTAAAACACCAAATGATTAATGTCCCAAGCGTCTATGCCACTGGTATAAGTGCTGAAGGGTTGAAGCACCCTCTGCCTGGAGAGCTTGTAGATAGACGGAGAAGAAGCTTTAGCATCCAAGATGTACAAACCACCATATGTTTTATCACTTCCAATCATTTTTTCTAGTTCGAATTCCAGAAAGATACAATGAATATGGAAAAAAGTCACTGAACAATTTAAAGATTTGGTGATTCTGGTAACAAATAATAAATTTGTAGAAAAATTGGGGATATGAAGAACAGATGATAGAGATAAGGTTGAAGAGCAATTAATTGAACATTTTTTTGAAATAGAGGATAAAGTTACATATGCCACCCTTACCTTATCCCTACCTGAACATGTAGAATATGAAGAGAAAAGACTAGAGGAATTTGTTATGTGACTCGCGGCTCCAGAGTCGATTATCCGAGGAGTGTATACGGATGAAACAATAAATACACTAGCAGGTACACCGGTTTGAGCAAAATTGGAAGAAGAAGAGGAAGCATGATTAGAAAAAACATCTAGCAGAGCCATCACACGTCTAAGAGTTTGTATCCTGAGAAAAAGATGTCAATGTACTGTCCATGTCCATTGTACCAGAAAAACACCAAAAATGACGAAATCATGACCAACGAAATTGCACACAGCACCAAGATTCATACCACAATAGCAAGAGGCCTCAAACTAAAGGCTAAAAAATGACCTGGGGTGACGTTGCCTCAACCAGAGGCTACAAACCCAGATCTGGATCCAAACAACGGCGAAGAACCCTATAGCTTAGCCTTAGATTTGCCCCAAATATGCAATATCCAAATAACTCCAACAGTAGCAGAAGAAAGACCAAAACATTGCAACCCTATAACCAAACAACGGGTAAAATATTACCAGAGGGCAAAACGCAGCAGCCAAAACAAAATCTAAAGCCAAACTAAGGTCAAAAAATACAACCTGAAGTAAATAATTCTAAGTCAGCCCCCAAAGTCACCTCAAAACCAGGAACAAACTAGAAATTTGGACCCCAAAATTAAAATTGCAAAACAGTGGCTGAATAATAGTCTTCCAATAGCAAAAGTGTCTCAGTAGTAGCCAAACAAAATATGTACAGTAGCAGTAGCCTTATAGTAGCAATAGTAGTAGTAGCAAAGCATGAACTAGAAGGCTGGAATAGTAGCCCAACCAATAACAGAGGCTGAAAAAGCCAATCAAGTCTGAAAAAAAGGCCAAAAACCTCTCAAATTTGCTCTAATCACAACCAATCTTCATAGGTGATGTGGATCTACCATTTTCGCATCTCATATAACATATTCGAAGCCAAAAACATAGGTGGAATGCCCAAAAATTGGGTCATCGTATGATAGACGAAAAAAATCCAAAAAAAGCTTCAAAAATAGAAAATCTCACCGGATGGATTTAAAAAAATCCAGACAATCACTATAAATATCAGGACAAAATTTTGAGTCTCCTATGAACATTTCAAAAAATTCTAACATAGGCGAGTTGTTGACGTCAGGTTGTCAATTGCTGACGTCAGCCACCCTGTTTTATGTCTGATAAATTGCAACGCTTTCTGATGACTCTAAGGCTTTAGATTTGGATTGATGCTTTGATACCAAGTTGAATTATTATGTAATTAGGGTTTATGAAGGCTTGAGGTCCAATGGTACTACTTGATTTGTGAAGGCTTTGCCTTCTTTAGGTCAAGGGTTCAACTTCCCCTCTCCCTTCCCCTTCCCAAAAAAAAAGATTATTATGTGATTAGGGTCTATGAGAAGATGAAGAAGAAGAAGAAGAAGAAGAAGAGAAGAGAAGAAATTGTGGGAATAGAGTAGTGTGTTAGGTTACACATCTACACTCAGCTTTTATATATAATCTCAAAGTACAAAACTACCCTTAATTAGAAATAACACATGACATAATAGGTACCAAATTTTGCACCTCTATATCTATAAATCGTCAATATTATGTTTTGTCAGTGTATAAAATAAATAAAAATAAATATGTATCAAGGGCTTGACTACACCTTGCTTCTGGGCTTACGGAAAAAGGTAAATCCGAGGGTTCTTTACTAATATAATATCATAGGGGACACTTCCTTGAAGAAAGCCGTGCTCCCTTCAGCTTTCAAGTAGATAAAGAAGTTCAGGCTAGTGACATCAATGTATCTTTCCGTATCCGTATCCTACATTTTTAGATTTCAGGGAATCCTTATGGTCATATTGTGTTGTACTGTTTCCCATAGCTGTATCCATCCTTTCTAGACTTGCTCTAATACCTCCTGATGCAGCATGATGTGAGGAATTGGGGCTTAGCACTCTTCTTTGGTAGCTTGACAACTAGACCACAAGATAATCTCAACAACCAAATAAGAAAATAACAAAGAATATAGAAATCAGTTAAGAAAGGAGAGAGAAATTGGTTAAGAAACGAGGCAAAAAAACAGAAGGAATATAATTGATAAGAGTACTGCAGAGGCAACGCCTACTCTTTCAAAAGAAGAGATATTGGTGGCTATAATTTCCTCAGACAGCTCTTTATAGGCTGCTGGACAGGTTCTATACCTTACGCTTGAATCCTTGTAATCTTAGCCTTACAAGTGTCTACACGCAAAAGGATACAAACTTAACTAGAGCATAATAATTGTTTATAAGGCAACTAAAAACAAGATTAAATAACATGGGGTAGCAGCACGTGAAGCCTAATACACATGCAATATTTCATTTACTGGTCGCTACTGCAGCTGCATTAATCTTTTGACTGTTTGAATTGTGGATCAAGTTGAGAACCTGAGTTACTGAGGGTATTGTGATTGCTGGAGACCCGGTAAGAAATTTCGAGGAGAGAAAGATTAATAGATAATTGGCATTTGCAGTGGAAATAGCAAAAGATGCAGGATGGATATTTGCTCGAAATTAAGGTCAAGCCTATATGAGTTGGATATTGCAAAATGTGGAAATGAATTTGTTGTAGTATTTGTTTGTGCATATGAACTTTATCCGTTGTCTGTTGTTGGCATCTAAAGTATTTCCAATGATCTCTTTCATATTAGATGATATTCTCATTAAATTACTGTCATTTCAACTACCACATCATTTTTGTAACTAAATCTGTTTTGGTTTATGGCAAACAGGCAGTAGGCAAAAACTACATGATGGTTGGTTACATAATGAAGCCTTCTCGTGAAGAAGATTTTTCTAAGGTCAGTTCTTTCTGTTAAGCAAATGCCGACATCACTGTGTGCTAATAAGGAAGAAAAAAGGTTGATGGTAGTAAAAAACAAAAGTACTCACGACTCTTTAAGTTTTCACAAACGAATATTGTGTGATACTCTTAGATAAAAAGACCTGCATGACTCATTTGGGTGTCTTTTTGTAGTCCTCCTACATTATTATTTGTGATTGTGCTTAATTGATGCCATACTATCAAGATTGTAATTTACGGCATAGCTTAAGTATTTGATCTGGCTGATTTTGGGAATAACAAATCCTCTAGGTTGGTTTGACCAGACTATTCTAGCTAGTGGATGCTTATTCTTGACTCACTTATGGTATTGTAATTTGAGGTTTACAATCATTGTACGTAATATTTTCAATAAAGGTTTAAGTCACATACATTGTACTTTTGATGTCGACAGAGAGGTGCATTCCCCCTTTATCCTACTCAGAACGGGCTGATATTTATGCCACTTTCACTTGAGCTACCCATATCATCTCAGCTAAAACAAGTTGACATAGTTCTCCATAAAGCAACTGATGAGATTCTCTCCGTTGAAATTAGCAATTCTTCAGAATTGCCAAACAAAATTACTTATTCCAGGGGCATGCAGGAGTTGCAAAGGTAACTTCCATATTTCATTAAATTGTTGCTGGTTCATATTGTATGTATGGAAAAATTAAAAAGTGTAAACTGTATTACCTTTTACATGAAATAACCCATGACGTGGCATAGAATTATCTTTGAAAGTAGTTACTTGTCTTTTGGCCAATATGCTATTGCATTTATATGATAATGGTGGCTTTGTGGTTTTATTTGCCCGGGAACCAAAATGAGATGTAATGTCTCCGTGAAGTTTTTACGTCAACATCACTGGAGAATTATTGAAGCACATTAAAAATAATGAAGATCACAAATTTCAAGTCTTAGATTTGTAGTTTCATTTACATAAAATTAATGCCATCTAGAAGTATGCAATCAAAATGCATGATGGAACATGTAGTCTTAAAGGTGTATATGCTCATTTGATATGTATTTGTACGAATATATGAATTGATTTGAATACATGCAGCCATGCTAGAGTTCATAAATATACGATTGCCTCACTTTTAAATCCTGAAACTGCAAGTCTTGCTAGCTTTCAAATTATTTTTATTGGGCATGTGAATGATGTCGTAAAATGGTTGAATTGTTTATTATTAATGCCCTAGTTCCCAGTAGGCTAAGATAACCGCTCTATTCCGTATTACTGACCTATCAGATACTGCCTTTCTTTGTTAGACACAACACCCTTGTCACCTCACATTTGTCTGAATTGAAAAGAGACCTGCAAGTCTTGCTAACTTTCAAAATATTTTTATTGGGCATGTGAATGAGGTCATAAAATGGTTGAATTTTTTATTATTAATGCCCTAGTTACCAGTAGGCTAAGATAACCACTCTATTCCTTATTACTGCCCTATCAGAGACTGCTTTTCTTTGTTAGACACAACATCCTTGTCACCTCACATTTGTCTGAATCGAACACCTGTTACCTTTTTCATGACGTTTTGAGAGGTTATGTCATGCCATGTCAGAAAACACAAAGGTGCTATAGTTTAATTGTTTGGTGTATGCGGTTACATAAAATACGGTCCAGGACAATTGTAATCTGTTCACAGAAATGAGATTTTACTTTTAGAGTTTATACTTTTTGAGAATTTTCATTTTCTATGAGGTACTTCAAATTCCAACTTAATTGGCTCATACAACTAAGATCCCTTATATTATGTTATGCCTTTTGCCAGGTATGTCGAGCACCAGCCGGATTGCTGTGTAATCGATCCATTTAATAAGGTTTATCCTGTGTTGGATCGATTAATAATCCAACAAATTCTACTTAGCTTGGAAAAGTTCAACATAGAAAGTCGTTGTAAAATCAGGGGCCCCCATTTTCTCAAGGTCTTTTCTCCAGAATGTTATCTAATTTATGCTTGCATTGATTTCAACAAATTGATGGAAACAACACTAAATCTACTTATGAATATTATGTTTGATAATCTTATCTAGCTGCAGCATTTGAAATTTTTTTTCAATAATATTATTGTTCATAAAACACCAATGAAAACAGTACAACATCAGTTAAAGGTGGACAAGTTGTCCAAACCAATAACCGATCAAAAATACTGAAAATAAATCAAGACGACATGCGGCATGAAGCTGTCCAACTTGATGTGATGCAAGAAAGAGGAACATATTCAAACTACTTAGTCATTGAAGCCAAAAGGAAGCTAAAAAGTAAAGCCGATCCTATAGTCCTTCCACCTCCTCACTTTATCCTAAAAAAATCTTGCATTCCTTTCTAACCAAACAGCCCATATGGTAGCAAAAGAAGCACAGTCCCGTAGAGTCCTCCACCTTCTATTGCTTCCTCCATCCAAAACATCCAAACAAAACATAGATGACATAGTATTCGGCCTCACCCAACTAATTCCCATATGGTAAAACAACTTGTTCCATAGTGAAGGTTGGGTGAGGCCAAGTACTACGTTTATCCACTGCTGGATCAAAGGTGTGGTTGAGTACTAGGTTTATCCTGAGTACTCTGCCTCAACCAACCTATGAATTGTTTTTCATGTATTATGTGCAAAGATGAGGGTGTGAATCATTTATTTCTATATTGTCCCATTGCTTTCACTATGGAACAATTTGTTTTACCACGAGGGAATTAGTTGGGTGAGGTCGGGTACTATGTCATCTATCCGGGTAAGGATCAAAATATCGTTTCGAAAAGGTTGAAACGTTTCCGTTTCCAAGGAGATCGAAACGAAACAATGATGAAATCGAAATTCTGATATTTCGACGTATTCCATAATGTTTTTAAATGTATTATAATATTTCAATACATTTGCACAATTCTTTTAAAATGTTTCAAGTTATTTCAAGATACTTTGATATATTTCCATCAATGTTTAAAAAAAATAATTCTTAAATTTTTTATTTTTTTCATTATATTTTCGAAACAGGTCGAAACGTTTTCGAAACACGTCAAAACGTTTCCGTTTCCTAGGTGACCGAAACAATACACCGAAACAATATTTTGATCCTTGTATCCAGGTGGAAAACAAATCATAGGTTTATCCCGTGTTGGATGTGTTAACTTTGATCAATCATAGAAAAGTAAGAGAAAGAATAAGAGAATATTATTGAGGCACAATATGACAGAACAACCTTAAAAGAAAAATACATATAAAAAGTCTTTATATAGTTGGGCAACATAAAAGAACACAAATGACTAAGTTAGCTCTAAGTCTAAATATGCTAACTATTCTAACACTCTCCCTCAAGTTCATGTAGTAGTAGAAAACATCAAGAGTTTGTCAGGAAGAAAACGAAAGTGAGTGATAGTATGCGACTTTGTGAAGAAATCTGCTAGCTGCATAGTAGAAGAAAGAAAGGGAAGAGAGATAGTGCCCAACTGAAGATGATGACGTACAAAGTGACAACAATCTCAATATGTTTTGTGCGCTCATGAAACATTGAGTTATGAGCAATCTGAATAGCACTAGTATTGTCACAATATATAGGAGTCGGTGCAGATAATATGATGTCAAGATCAGTAAGGAGCCATCGTAACCAAACTATTTCAGCTGCAGTAGACGCCATAGTACGATATTCAACTTCAGCAGATGAACGAGAAACAACAGTTTGTTTCTTGCTTTTCTAAGAAATTAGAGAATCACTGAGGAAAAGGCAAAAGTCCATAGTGGACTTGCAGTCCATAGAATATGAACAGTATAGGAGATATTCAGACGGATGAGTGTAAGATATACTAAACTCCCAACAATAGCGTGATAGAGCATAGGGTCAGATAGGGGAGTACCATCAGAAGAAGAGTAACGGACATTGAGCTCTAAAGGTGTTTCAATTGTCCGATTATCTGATAAATGGGCTCGTTGAATAACATCTGAAGCATACTTAGACTGAGAGAGAAGATAGCCTTTAGGAGAAGAAGTAATCTCAATACCCAAGAAATATCTAAGTTACCCCAAATCTTTCATCTTAAAATGATCCTACAATTGAGTTTTCAATAAGCATATGCCAGCAGCGTCATCACCCGTAATAATCATATCGTCAACATATAGTAAGAGAATAATAGAATCTGAGGAAGTAGATCATAAAAAGAGAGCAGAATCATGGTCACTAGCGCGAAAACTCAAGTCACAAATAATCGAAAAAAATTTGGCAAACCATGTCTTGGGAGCCTGTTTAAGGCCATATAAAGCTCGGTAAAGTTGACATACTTGACCAGGACTATGAGATAATCTAGGAGGAGTCATAAAAACCTCTTTACTTAAATCTCCATGAATAAAGACATTTTTCACATCCATCTGAGACAAATTCTATTGGCGAATGGCAACAATTGCAATCACCGTGCGAACAGTGGTCATCTTCACAACAGGGGCAAAAGTTTCATCATAATCTATACCATACTTCTGAGCAAAACTCTTGGCTCCTAATCGAGCTTTATACTGTTCTACAGAACCATCAGACTTAGTTTTTATCTTATAAATTCACCTACAACCAATGGTGCGTTTATCAGGTGGTAAAGACACTAGCTCACAAACTTTAGTCTTATGTAAGGCAGATAACTCCTCATCCATAGCCTGTTTCTATAGTGGATCAAGTAAAGCCTCCTTGTAGGAGGTGAGTTCAGATAGGGAGTGAATAAAAGTAAGAAAAGAACAAAAGTCAAAAGAATAACAAAGATTACTCCAATCAAACCTGTCTGGACATTTGCAAGAGCGCTGAGGATAGCGTGAGGTATGATCCGCAGTGTCTGAACTTGATTAGGTGGCAGGAGGAGAGTGGGGAGGCACTGCATCAGTAGAGGAGATAGCTGGAGTCCTGCGAAAATATGTATGCACAATAGGAGGACGAGGAACAGCGAATTCAGAAGGGGAAGGATCTGGCACACTTAAATCACCAATATATGTGTCATGAGGAACATCAACAGGAAATGGATTAATGTATAGCATATCGGACTTATTCAGTGGAGAAGAACTAGATGGAATTGAAAAGAAGGGAATATGCTCCATAAAGACAACATGGCAAGAAACATAAATTTTATGAGTAATAGGATCATAACAACGATACCCTTTTTGACCCTCACCATAACCAAGAAAGACACATAAAACTGAACGAGCAGAAAATTTGGTACGAAGAACACTAGGGAGCAAAACAAAGCAAGTACAACCAAACACTCTTAAGAGAAATAGTTATGCGGTTTATCACACAATTTTTCAAATGGGGAGACTCCATAGGTAAGAATAGTAGGAATGCAGTTAATCAAATGAACTGCTGTAAGAACTGCTTCCCCCCGAAATGAGCTGGGAACATGGGCTGATAAGAGAAGGGAGCGTGCTGTCTCTAGAATATGACGATGTTTACGTTCAGCAACACCATTCTGCTCAGGTGTGTTAGTGCAAGAGGATTGATAAAGTGTACTATTAGATTTCAATAAATCACGAAAAGAAGTAAGGTTGTATTCACCTCCCTGATCACATCGAAAACATTTAATGACAATAGAATATTGAGTGCGGACCATATTATGAAAATCAGTGAAAATTGAAAAGAATTTAGACCGATGTTTCATCAAGTATACCCAACAATATCTTGTATAATCATCAATAAAAGAATTAAAGAAACATAATATTTGGACTCTCCTTGTGTAGGAACAGGAGCTGGTCCCCATATATCAGAATGAATAAGATCAAATGGTGCAAGGGAACAAGTAACACTTTTATTAAAGGTAATGAACTAAATTTAGCCAACTTGCATCCACTACAATTAGAAATGTCATGACTCTCTAAACTGTCCAAACTACTAGTAGAAGCTAAAAAATTTAAACGAGAATGAGAAACATGACCAAGACGAGAATGCCGCAAATAAAAACTGAAACATTGTGAGTTCAAATGAAAAGAAGATAGATCAACAATAGAGAACAACTTCTGGAACATGGAACTCCTCCAACACATACAACCCTCCCTTTCTACGGCTTGTCCTAATCAGTTTCTTGGACTGTGGATCTTGCACAACACAACCAGAAGAGGAAAAATGAACCAAAAATTCCTGAATCAAATAATTGACTTACGAAGATTAAATTCAAAGTGAGTTGAGGAATATAATAGACATCAAGAAGTCTAAGATGGGAAGAAATAATTGTCCCAACACCAGCTAAAGACATTTGAGTGTTATTGACTGCAAGTATAGATACAAATGAAGGAGAAATAACATACGCAAATAAAGAAGGATCATTAGTCAGATGATGTGTGGCAACTGAATCAAAGACCCAGGCGGTGCAGGACATACCTAAAGGGCCTGAGGTAAATAAACCTACTGAAGGAGATACTATAAGGGCACCAGGCTGGTGGAGAGAGTAACTTCTGCAACTGATCAACAAGCATAGTTAGGTTGGGGGCCTATGAGGAGGACTCATCCATCGGTGTTGCAACTACTGTTGAATGACGATCTTTAGGCTGAAATGACTGACTTGTTGTCCCTCTAGCATTTTTGTTCACCAGTTTAGGGCATTGAGCCTTCCAGTGGCCCTTCTCATGATAGAAGCTACACTCATTTGAAGCTACACGGCCCCGATATTTATTTTGTGAATGAGAAGTCACCTTGAGAGGCACAGCCAATACAGTCTGAGTAGGCAATGAAATAAAGCTTTTCCCAGAAAGAGTGTTAAGACGAACTTTTTCAGCCAGAAGCCCATTCACTACTGCATCAATTGAGGGAAGTGGATTACGATAGAGAATAGAATCATGAAGTCCCTCGAAGTCATCCCTCCTCCGGTTTATTGCTATAATATTGAAAATATTTAAGACCTAAACAAGCTCTGATACCATGTTAACTTTGATCAATCATAGAAAAATTAGCGAAAGAAGAAGAGAATATTATTGAGGCACATATGTCATAACAACCTTAAAAGAAAAATACATACAAGAGGTCTTTATATAGTAGAGCAACATAAAAGAAAATAAATGACTAAGTTACCTCTCAGTCTA